TTTTTTTTTAAGATGAACTATTTTTCCAGTCAAACCCTTTGTCCAGCAGGTGGTAGAGTAGAACACCATCAAAGTGGATGTTGGAAATAGAAACCGGAGTGTCTTTTAGGACTGTTTCAGTTCAAACAATCAATGCATCTGCTTTCTAAGGAAGCAAATTAGTGTTTTTTTAAGTAGGCTATCCATGTGGATGTGCATCATAAATACAGCAAAGCCTGGGGTTTTATACTCAGAACTATCTTGCGTGAGTTATAAATGCCTATGAAGGTTTAGACTATAGCCTATCTGATAGTATTACATGCAGGAGTACAATGGCAATGTTTTGAGGTGATGTGAATTAATTTACAGTGTTACACAGGGTCATTCATCATTTTTGTGCACTTGTTTAAGAATATTTTAGGATATAAACCATTGTATCTCATGATTTTGTATTTTTATTGTGGAACTTTATTAAAGCGGCGTATGACTGTCTTGTAGAATCTACTGTTTAACAAATGTGATAAATGTATGAAATTTTAACATCTGCACATATCAATCAGATTGCATATTGAGGACCAATCAGATGTATTTCTTTTTCCTTGTTTTCACTGGTTCATGTTTTCATGATGTATATGAAGTGTTGGACGTGTCCTGTGAAAGCAGACCACCAGCAGTCTTTGTGTATATAACCTGTACAGAACGGTTTGGGTTTTACAACTTTGTAAATTGAGCCAGATATACTGTATTACTCATGTACATTACATCAATAAATAGAAGCAACTATTATGCACATGTTTGAGAAATCTATTGTAATTAGAGACACACATATTAAACTTTTTTTTGCATTTGCACACAAGAAACAAAAGCTCTCTAAAGAGCCAACACAATATAGAGAGGTTAAATATGATAAAATATCAATGATAACTTAAGTAAATAATGTCATAATAATTTGCTGATGCATTAAATTAGTTGCAACAAGCGTAAATATTTTTTATAACTTTGTTAATACAAGATTTCGTATATTAAAGGGATAGTTCACCCAAAAATGAAAATGTGATGTTT